CCCCAGAAGAAAAGGAACCGGAGAATATGGATCATGATGCTAACAAAACAGCAGATGATCCAGATGGTAAAGCACCTGGTAAACAGACCAATGCTTCAGTTGCACCAAGTGGGCAGCACAAGTCCAAGGCTGTGATAGGAGCATCCATCGAGAGCATGGTCATGGCGGCTAAGCTTGCAGAGGAGCTGGCTGGCGCCCAAAGCAGATTTGCCGCCCTCTTGAGGTGCGATACTCCATCATTCAAACTTGGAAGTTACTGAGAACTGCCTTGATGGGAGAGAAGAGTACATACAAGAAGGCTGTAGTACTGCTCTCTACGTGTGGGATGATTCCAGATGGTTTAAGCACGATTGGAAAGCTAGTTTGTCGCATGAGATAAAACTTTGAGCGGTGGCAAAGTATCACCGGTGAGAGCTAGTAAGAGAAACGTGTCTACTTCGGACCAAGACTCTTTGGAGAAGGCGATGAAGTTAAAAGCACGCAAAAACTTGAATGCATCTTCAGTCAAAGGTAATGAGACTTTGCCACACTCTTTTGATATTCTCGATGATTCTATGTTGCTGCATACAACTAGCTCGTTAGGAATCTCTCTTGGCTCTAATGAACAAGAAGTGTTTCTTTCTTTGAAAAGTTTAAGAGATATTGAATTTGCTAGAATGTCAGCAAACAATAGTTTAGAGGAAAAAAGTAAAGCTATGTTGGACGATACTTCCACTGTTTGTTCCTTAGAAGAAAACATGGACCTAGAGGCTTTAAATTTAATTTGTGTAGAAATTTCTGAAGACCTAGGTGATGGGGGCTGTAACCCTTTGTGTCTACAGACCCCTATATCACATTCCAAAAAATATAGTTCCAAGCTTAATAAGAAAAAAATTAGACACCATTCTAGATGAAAGGATTTTTTTGGAATTGCAAAGGGTTTGCTGATACGAAAAAATATAGGTTCCTATTCGACTTAACAAAAGAAAAGGACTTAGATTTTATTGCATTATCGGAGACCGGGAGAGCCAACTTTTCGCAATCGACCTTGAATAATATCTGCGCGGGCAGAGATTTTCTATGGCATTGCATGGCTCCGAGGGGTCGGTCCGGTGGTATGATTCTAGGAATAAATCCTTTAACTTTTGACATTGGCCAGATAGAAGAAGGATATTTTTTTATTCGGTTCAAATTACGACATAAGGAGGATGACTTCAAGTTTAATTTAATCTCAGTATATGGCCCAGCTTAGTTAGATCTCAAATCACATTTCTTATCTGAGTTGGTTAGAGTATGTTCAAAAGAGACCGTACCTATTATCATAGATTCATAGGTGATGATTTCAACATTATTCGCAACCCAGATGAGAAAAATAATGAAAACTACAATGACAGATGGCCTTTTCTTTTTAATGCTGTTATTGACACGTTAAGTCTTAGAGAGTTGGAGATGGCAGGAAGAAAATTTACTTGGGCTAATCACCTACAAAATCAGACCTTTGAGAAGTTGGATAGGATTCTAGTTTGTACGGAATTTGAATCCAAATATCCGCTTACAACCGTCCATGCTTTAAATAGAGAGATATCTGATCACACTCCACTCTTATGTAGTATACTAATAGCCCATCTCAGACTTACCAACCCCAGTTCAAGTTTGAACTGGGATGATTGCTTAGAGATGGATTTTGTGACATGGTGCGAGATGTGTGGCATAGTGTTCTCGTCAACGGCAGTCCCTTAGAGAGGTGGCAAGCAAAGATCAGGAGACTTCGCCAATACCTCAGAGGCTGGGCAAAAAATGTGAGTGGCACTTATAAGAAAGAAAAGAAGGAACTGCTAGACAAACTCGATGAGCTAGATAAGAAGGCAGAGAACCTCCTGCTGAATGAGACGGAGTTAAATTTGAAACATGTGCTAAGTGAGAGACTCGCTGAATTACTTAGAGAGGAGGAAGTTAAATGGTACCAAAGGGCAAAGGTTAAGCACCTACTGGAAGGGGATGCTAATACTAAATATTTTCATTTGTTGGCTAATGGTAGGCACCAAAAAACTCGTATTTTCCAGTTGGAGGATGGTGGCACTATAATAGATGGTGATGCTCAATTAAAGCAACATATTATCAACTATTATAAAAACCTGTTTGGCCCACCAGATAACTCTAATATGAAATTAGATGAACACCTTGTTCAGGATATTCCACAAGTATCTGAACTGGAAAATGAGTACCTGACTGATGTATTCACAGAGTCTGAGGTCAGGGCAGCAATTTTTCAGATGGAACATAATAAGGCACCGGGTCTAGATGGTTTTCCACTAGAGTTTTATCAGGTCTTCTGGGACATGGTAAAAGAAGATCTGATGGCTCTGTTTATGGAATTTCATGAGGGGAACTTGCCTTTGTATAGTCTCAACTTTGGAACTATAATTTTATTACCAAAAAAGAAAGATGCAAAAGTCATTCAACAATACAGACCTATATGTTTGTTAAATGTTTCTTTCAAGATCTTTACCAAAGTTGCGACAAATAGATTATCTACTGTTGCCCAGAAGATTATTAGAGCAACACAAACGGCCTTTCTTCCAGGAAGAAATATTATGGAGGGCACAGTGATACTTCATGAGACAATCCATGAACTTCACTCGAAAAAATAGGACGGGATAATCTTTAAAATAGATTTTGAAAAGGCTTATGACAAAGTAAAATGGGACTTCCTACAACAAACTTTAAGGATGAAGGGCTTCTCGCATAAGTGGTGTTCGTGGGTGCAGCAGTTTACACAGGGAGGAAATGTAAACATTAAAGTGAATGACCAGCTTGGCTCATACTTCCAAACAAAAAAAGGATTAAGGCAAGGTGACCCAATGTCTTCAATACTATTTAATATAGTGATGGACATCTTTGGCCATACAAATTGCTAGAGCTAAGGAAGCGGTCGGTAGAAGGAGTCATTCCCCATCTTATCCAAGATGGGTGTCTATCCTCTGATATCTGAGATGACCTTTGTGATTTTTATGAGTCACGATGTTAGGAAGGCGGTTAATATGAAATTAATTCTAAGCACTTTTGAACAACTATCGGGGCTCAAAATTAATTTTCACAAGAGCGAAATCTTTTGTTTTGGTAAAGCAAGGGATCATGAGGTGTTTTATTCAGTAGTTGTTTGGATGTGGATTGGGCAAATATCCCTTTCTAGCTACTGGGTTTGCCTATGCACACTAGGAAATTGAGTAATAAAGATTGGAGGGTAAGAAAATTGAATTGAAAACAAGCTTAGTGGGTGAAAAGAAAAGATGCTTTTCGGTAGGAGGCCGCTTGGTCCTAATAAACTCGGTGCTCTCTAGCTTACCGATGTTTATGTTTGTCATTCTTGAAATCCCAAAAGGAGTTTTGGAGAAGATCATTGCTTTAGATCAAGATTCTCTTGGCAAAGTGAACAAACACAAGCACAAATATAGATTAGCCAAATGGGAAATCTTGTGCCAACCAAAATTACAAGGTGGCCTAGGTATTCATAATTTGGAGTTACAAAACAATTTTTTGTTGAGTAAGTGGCTTTTCAAACTTTTAAATGAGGATGGCTTGTGGCAAGAGCTATTGAGAAATAAATACTTAAAAGACAAGATTTTAGGGGGCTGTACAAAAAAACCAACATATTCTCATTTTTGGAAAGGTCTGATGACTGTCAAAGACATTTTTATGAGTTTTGGTTCATTCAAAGTAAAAGACGGGTCACAGACTCGTTTTTTGATGGACACTTGGTTGAGTAGTCAACCTCTCAAAGATAAATTTCCCGTGTTGTTCAACATTGTGAGAAGAAAGCAAGATTCCGTGGCAAAAGTACTTGCATCAGTCCCGCTGAACATTTCCTTTCATCGCAATCTAGCAGGTTGGAACCTGAGGGACTGGCATAGAATCGTCGCATCTCTACAAGATGTGAACTTACAAGAAGAAAGAGATGTTTTTATTTGGACATTGCATTCATCAGGTAGCTTTTCTGTTAAATCTTTGTATGCTGCGTTAATTAACAATAGGGTCAGAGTGTCACAGGATTTATGGCAGATCAAAATTCCTACAAGAATTAAAATATTCTTGTGGTATCTAAAAAGAGGTCATTTTAACCAAGGACAACTTTGCCCGCCGTAACTGGAATGGTGACAAAGATGCTGCTTCTGTCACTCTGCCCGAAACCATTCAACACCTCTTTTTTCAATGTTATTATGCCAAATTCCTATGGCGCGCTGTACACTTAATGTTTGGGATATCACCCCCATAGCATAGACGATTTATTTGTTAATTGGTCTAAAGCGGGTGATAACATACATAATTTGTTATTATTAACAGCGGTATCAACCTTATGTTGGACAATTTGGATAATAAGAAATGAAGTGGTTTTTGACAAGTGTAGACCAAAAACTTTTTTGCAGGTATTATTCAGGGGAACTCATTGGTTAAGGCAATGGGCAAGACTGCAGCGGCATGTTGATCTTCGAGACCAATTGACCCTTGCGGGACAGTATTTGGAGACGTCGGCATTGCATTTTTTTAGTTCCAATGGGTGGTTGTCATTTAGGTTTATTGGTCTATAGTAGTCAGGATTTGCTTCACGCTTTGTTATCCTCGAATTTGGTTGTAGACTCGTTTTGGTTCTTGTGCGTCGGCCGTCGGCCCAAACTTCTTAATAATTAGTCTGATTCTACCCTGGTGTAGATAAAGCCGGATATAAACTATCATTTATCTTAAAAAAAAAGGTAGGAGTGTCGTGGGAATTGGACGCACGCACTGGCACTACTGCACAAATTAATCAAACCAATCAACTTTCGGGGGACCAAAAAAAAAGTGGGGGATGAGATTTGGAGATTAGTAAGAAGAAAATTCAAAGTAATCAAACACGACTTGAATCGCTCAACGTCAACGGCTCAGCAATCTCAAGCTGAGTAGGTGATGCCGAGCAGCACAGACAGACTGGGCCCCCGAGCAGCACACGACGACGAACCCCGAAAGTCACGGTCTCAGGGCAAAGATTATTCAGAGTTAGACACGGTTATACTAGGCAGCGTTGCGCTGGCAGTGTCCAAGTCCAAATTATGCCCGTCTCGTATTACCACTGACTCGTCGTGTTTTGGCGGATATTTTGTACGTACGTAATCAACCTTGACTTGATTGATTCCCGAGTCCACAGCGACGGCGACTGCCTCACTGCTGAGAGCGAGAGAGCTCTGTTTCTGATCCCGATCGCCCTCTGCTTCCGCTTCTGCTTCTGGTGCTGCGGCAACGTTTACATACATGCATGATTACATACATCTGCCAACCGTAGTCTTATATAATATACCTAAGCCAGCCACAATCTCCAACTTTATATACAAAAAAGAAGAAGCATCAAATTTAAACGATCACCAACTAAATATGTGAAATCAAAAGCGATGTTTGCTTTAACCATGACAAATCGAATCCATTAAACATGTTTGGACAATAATTCACAAATACAAACAAAATACTATAGTGGGGAATCTTTTACGGTGCAAAGTTTGGACCTCCAAAGTTGGCCGAACTAAACGCGCCCTAAGCTAAACGATCACCAACTGTTTAGCGATGTCATGACCATGATCGAATCCAGGGAAACATGCAAACACCATTAAAAATGATGTTTTTCCCTTCTCACATGAACAACAAGCAGGAAATGTTTCGAAGGAGTAGCCATGGAAGGCAGCTACCTATCTAGGACTAGGAGACGCGCGGATCGTCGGACGAGCTTGTCAGGTTTCTTTCTGTTCAACTTCTACACCGATTGTTAGGCCTGATTTAGATTCAAGTTTTTTCATTTTTTCTTCATCACATTAAATCTTTGGACACATGTATATGCATGGAGTATTAAATATAGATAAAAAAATAACTAATTACACAGTTTGATTATGAATTAGGAGACGAATCTTTTGAGTCTAGTTAGATCATGATTAGACAATAATTATTAAATATAAACAAAAGTGTTACGGTCGAATAGTGATTCCCAATCATCGTCAACTAACAAGATGCTATCGCCTGGTAGTGGTAGCCTGAACTGACCGCTGACCCTGACCAGCTGCAGGCTCTCCTGCCGCATCTGCCTCCTCTGGCTCTCGATGAACTCCTCGAACGTCCTGTCGTCGGCTAGTTCCATTTCCATTTCCATTTCCATTCCCGCCGTCTGCTGCTCCCGGGCCGTGTCGTCAATGCGCTTGTCGTCGTCGTCGGCGGCGGCGATGATGCGGCGATCATCGCAGTCGTCCCTCTCGCCGTCCGCCGCAATCGCTGTGGTGGGATGCTCAAGTGGTTCGACGACAGCCGCGCGATCATGGTGGTCGAGCATGTCGTCGTCGTCATTCCTGGGCGACTCCACGAGGACGATCTGTTTGGTGGCCACGGCGGCGGCCTCTTCCGCCCATGTCGCCACCGCCTCTATCGCCGGCCGGCACTCGACGACGACACGACCCGGGGCATCGTGCTCGTGCATGGACACACGATCCACGGCCCTGTTCCGCGGCCGCCGGCGCCAGATGACGGCGCTCCTGGTGGCGTGGGGCCGGGCCGAGCCGGAGCCGGAATCGGTGCGGCGGAGCAGGCGATTTCTGTGCCAGAGGCGGCGACGGCGACGGCGGAGGTTGCCTCGCCCGGCGGGCAACCGCTGCGGCTGCGACGGCGGGCGGGCGCGCCGAGGACCCCGGCGTCCCTGAGGATGAGGAAGAGGATGGCGTGGCAGAGCAGGATCATGTTCCTGCGCGTGGCCAGCTCCAGCAGGCCGCCGCGCCCGTCGAGGAGGCGGTCGAGCGCGGAGACCAGCAGGTCGGCGACGGCGAGGCCCGGTGGCGGGAGGCGCAAGAGGAAGAGGACGACGGCGGAGAAGGCGAAGAGCAGCGCCGCGGCCCTGCTGGTGCCAGTAGCGCTCGCCATGGCCGGGCGACGTAGTCCGTCAGTTGTGAAGCTGATGCTGAGCACAGAGCAGAGCTGGGTGAGCGAGGCGGTGGACACCGGGCACAGCACTATCGGCCGGCGAGAGGTGGGTGAACTTGGCTGCTCCACACTTGCCTTTATATATACACTTGGCTGGCTAAATCCAAGGAGAGCCAAGGAACCCGGAACAACTCGGACTGTGGGAGTAAACGGTGGGCCCTGCTGTGCCGAGGACTGACCTAGACTTTGACCGCGTCCACACACAACCAACCATTCCGCGTACGCTCAGTTGGGATCTGACTTCTGAGACACTGACACTTGATAGAGCAGCAAGCGGAAGGCATTCTGAGCGAGACACTATGTTAATGTCATACAAAAAAGGAAAAAAAAGGTTTTAATTGACGAATAAAACAAGGTCTCCAGTGCATCATAGTTTCAATTCACGGTTTAATAAGCTAACCATAGGAAAGCATTGAATTAGTACAATGCAAGAGATTGTTACACTTGGTCGGATGAAATGGACCTCTCTAACTCAGCTTTACACCTAATTTCATCTTTATGAAACGACATCATCTCTCTTTATTATAATGAAATATATTCAAGAAGATATCTCGGATGGATGGTCATGGAGTCCACGGCCCGGCGCAGGGTTCACGTCGTCGCCGTACGTACCAGCTAGTAGCTTGCAAAGCAGGTGGCAGCCGTGGTCCTCGAGGGCAGTCTAGTGCTGTGTACTAGTAGCTGTGCTGTGTACCAACACGGTTCATCACTTGCTAATATGCCACACTACCCATGTTACCATGTTGCCACCCCGTGCTAATATGTACACACTACCCATGGCTTACCATGTTGCCATGTTTAGGTCGATGGCCCCTCAAAATTTCAAGACCTCTTTTTTACCAAAACCCTCGTTTCTTCTCTCTCATCGACACACGCAGGCGATTTTGAGCGTATACATGGAGCATTAAATGTAGGTAAAAAAAAATAACTAATTACAGTTTGCTTGTAAATGGCCGCCGAGGCGAATCGAAATTTTGAGCCTACTCGGATTTAGTCCACTCTCTCCTTCTTCCACTCGGTGCTTGCTCTTCCACCTCCCTCGTGAGAACCGAAGCTGTGGTGCGTGCGGCGTGGCGATTCGGGCTGGATTGGTTGTGGGTTAGGTTTGCAAGTTTCTTAAACAAGGCCCCCGCTCCGGCTGCTGCTTTGGGGTGGCCGTGTTCTTCTTCTTGTATGGTACTTGTTTGTTAATGACCTGCATGACCTAGTCCAGATCGCCTCCTCATGGACCCCAAGCCAAGGTGAAATCGACCCCAATCTTCTTTTTTAGGAGTATTGAACCTATTAGGTTTCTTGTTTCATGATCTGTTAGGGTTTCATACTTGTTTTTCTTCATGCTCCTATTATGGTTACATTACCTTCTTTGTTTTGATCTGTTGGGCTCGTGATGTTAGAGTATTAAATATAGTTCATAAAAATAATTAATTAGTGTTACTTGTATTGTTCTTGAAATTAGGGATGTTGATGCGAATCTTTTGAGCCTAGTTTTTGTTCCATCATTGGTCGATGATGTTGTCCACAATAATCTTGGGAGGCATCACATACAATATAAAATAGTGCTTTTGTTGGCATGCATTCATCTCACATTCATGTTGATATTAATTCATAACCCCAATCTAAACAAGATTTTACATGCTTGTAGATTTCGCTTTAATAATTTGTGTAGGGCGGAAGTATTGTTAACCAATGATCCACTAAATTTTACAATGACAGAAACGATTGCTGATCCTGGGCTATGAACCTGCTTAGGGATGAAAATGAAAGCGCAGGGAGAATCCCGATTCAGAGTATTTCTGATTAGGATAGTATAATAATGTCTTGTCACCGACACTGAGGATGAAGAGAGTTGCTTTTTAAGTTAGTGAGAACTTTTAGAGAGAGGAGTCTTGTCAGCGATAGGGAGAAGAGAGAAGAGAAAATGTTTTTACAACAACCAAAGAGTCCACCAGGTCCGGACATATAAGTTTATATGTATCTTTGTGGGTGAGCTTAGGAATGAAATGAAAAAAAACCACTATGAAAGATAAATGAACCATATATCTATATTTATACCTATACCTATACCTTAATAATAAAGAGACAAAATTTGGCTTTATAGATGGCACTCATTTTAGCAAGGGTTCCTAGGCGTCCATCCAGCTTTTTTAGTAGGAAAAAGGATCCCACCCCTCTATGTAATTGGACAATGGAGAGTTTCTTCGAACTTATATATATAATAACCCGGAATAGCTCTTGTCGAGGAAGATGGCTTGAGCACACCAACACTAATTGATTCGAAGTAACCGATTTCAAAACGTAAAATGTTCTTGGTAATGTAGCAGCTAAATGGTTTTACCTTACTTGGGGTTTATCAAGTCCAATCCTGCGTACCCTTATTTTCCCTCTTCGTCCTCTTTTTTTTTCCCGTTTCCATCTCTTTTTTCTCCGGCTTGTATTGGATACGTTAAGGAAAGTGTCGTCTATTCCCTCCAGTGCTTTTGCGTTGTTTTTATTTTTTCTTTTCCTAATAAAGCATCTCCGTTTATCTTTAGAATAAACTAGGTAGCATATCTATACGTTGCTACGGAATAACTAAATTTTTTATATTAAAAATACACGGATCGTACGATAAGATAACAATACTGTGAAATTAAATACCGACGTTAAAGTAACATTTAATTCAAAAAGCAAAGTTCGTGAAATTAACACGATTATTGTTGATGTTGTTCTTGACTAGCGCGACGTTGAGGCTTACATGCTCTCCTCAGGATGGATTAGACTTTTTTGGTACTTCAGTGATACGACTAAGATAATATTTTATATCGTGCTATTGCCCCTAAAGAATTCTCGATATCCATTTCTTTTCATGCGCCAATAAATCCATGAATAAGTTCGCTGCTTTGTGCTAAGGAGGATCTCCATATAATCTTGCACACAGAGGTTCGAGTATATATATGTAAATATTAGTGCTAGGGGAGGTTGTTAGCACATGGATAATTGAAGTGGGCGTGCCTAAAAAATCTCTCATAAAATCTTAAAACAAAGTATGTTATACTCATTCTATCATGCTTGTATAAATATATATGGCTTTTACTACCTACATTTCACACAAACATATATTGTAGAATAAGGTATCCATTTGAGTGTTTGTTCCAAGATGTTGAATTAGGTGTTGTAATTCTTAATTTTGACATATTTTTTAGGTCAAGGCAACTAATGGTGACAGAGGGAACTTCTACGAGGAGGAGATTTTCTTAACATGTGCATAATTTTATGGTGCACCTCTTAATTATACCTGAGTAAGGACAAGCACTTATTGTTGCCTACACCTTCCTCCTGGACAACAAGGCCCAAGAAAAAGGAAATGTGTAGTTCCACTACAATGAAGGCTAGAAAGCCGAGGTTGAGTTGAGTTTTCCTCCACTATGCATACTAAAACCTACGTCCCCGTTTATCATTGCCGATGATTTTGATGCAAAACAATTCAACATTACCATGATCAGTTATAAGTTTGAGTCTCTTGTGAGCAATCTCATAGAGGGTCTCTCATCCTTTATGTGATCTGCCTCAAGGATATTGGCATCTCTATCTTACATTGTTCTCTTCAGCAATCAATTGATATAATTTCTAGGGACGAAGGAGTTGTCTGATCTTTGGAGGAAGCCTTGTTCTGCCTTAATAATATGATTTATTTTCCATGAATACATACATGTACTATGATAACACTAACTACACCAAACGAAATATTAGAGAGAATTTGCATAGCCTTTAGAAGGATTTATTTATTAAGTTCTTTAGACTCTACAGGTAGTTTTGAAATATCTGTTTGCATGTCTTACCTCGTATCCTAATTCAAAATTTTGTAGTTTAATTAGAATATTTAGGTGATTGTATATATATAATATTCAATACAAAAATAATATATGCACGTTGTTCTTGAAAGATTTTTAACTTGTTGCCCTTTGTAAAGACATCTTAAATGTTTTTTGGTGCATGACACAATGGATCGATGCATTAGGCTGGCTACGGTATCAAAACAAAAGGACAATATATCAATTAAAAATAAAACAAAACTCATGCTCAAAGTCAAAGAGATAAATTATGGATGCTTAAATTTTGTCATCCATTATCTACCTTTCATTCATGTCCATTTCTATAAAATAGACTGAATAAACAATTAAACATAGATAGAAAAATAAATTAATGAAAGGATCATTACAAGCCATCAATCATCTCATAGCCTACCCCGGACAATATCGTAAAAGCTACTAAAAACACGTAATGACCTATGACCTAGTCCAGTGTGCCCTCACCTCAAACTTTGCTTTTCAGATAAATGGATTACAATGAAAATAGAAGCAAATGTTAATACACATGGAAATAAATGCACAAGTAGAGTAAATAATGCCATTTCAGAGAAGGAAATTTTCCGAGGTAAACTTCAAACCATATCATAAGGAAAACTATCTTCTCATGAAACCACAAAATCAAGTTTTGTCCACCTTATAACCTAGGTTTTAAATTTGCTTGGCAAAGAAAAGCATCAACTCTTCATTGAGGTTGATGGCTGTCATATATTTACTACCTACCTTAATAATAAAGGAGCACCATCCAGTTCTTTGAATCTCTACATGTCTAAAGTTTTCATCACCATCAAAGCATCATCCCATGCTCGACCACCCCTCGTAAACAAGCTCTGCTCCTTGATCATCTTCCCTCCACACTATATGACCTCCCAGTCGTTGTTTTTATTTTTTCGATCCTAGGACCTCTTTAGAATAAACTAGGTAGCTTCGTGGAAGTTGTATGGATGCTAAAAAGAAACTGCATGGTCATCCTCCAGCCCTGACGTAGTAGCCTATAATTCAAAAACAATGACATGTCGGATTTTTGAAACATGCCCTCGTGATACTTGCAAAGTATAGTTTTAACTCAAGTGATAAGCTACCAGACAACTAAGT